CTGATTGTAGAGAGAGTGTTGGAATAGAAATACAACAGAAAGGTAGTGCTAGCATTGTACAAAATACGGAAGAATGTCCTGCAAAAAAAGCAGTTGGAGTTAGTGGCTGGAAGGAGCTCGCCACTAACTCCATGCTGGATGGAGCTAGCTACTCTAACTCCATGCTGGATGGAGCTAGCTGCTCTAGCTCCATGTTGGATGGAGCTAGCTGCTAACTCCATTCTGGATGGAGCTAGCTGACACTAGCTCCATTCTTAATGGAGCTAGCCATCATTCTTAATATTCCCTTTCAACCTGGACGACAAGGAAGTGACTCCCAGCTTGTCTTTCAAAAAAAGGAACCTTCAGTGAGTGAGACCTTTTGTTAAGAGATCTGCTATTTGATTAGAGGAAGGCACGTATTTGACTTCTAATTCTTTGCCAAGAACTTTATCCCTGATGAAATGAATGTCTAATTCAAATTATGTTTGGCTAAGCTTAAATTCCAATTAAAATTGAAAATATAACCGTTATTGGTCCCACTCGTCTAATAAAAGTCAACAATAACGGCTAATTTTTCAATTTTAATCTGATTTTAATATCTACCGAACACGCCCTCAATGTACTTTGTTCGCGCATGGTATACTGGGTTGGCAGCCAAAGCACTAGCGTTCATATTGTCACACCACGGGACTAGGATGGATGATTGTGATAATTCAAGTTCTTTGAAAAGTGATTGGATCCAGGCTATCTCTGAAGCTGCTGAGGCAAGTGCTCTGTACTCTGATTCTATACTTGATCTAGCAACTACATGTTGCTTCTTTAAAGACCAGGCAATCAAATTTTCTCCTAAGTAAATACAATAGACTGGAGTTGATCGTCTGTCATCTGGGCAGGATGCCCAATCAGCATCTGAATATCCTGTTAAGTCTAATATTTCACTTTTTTGTATCCACAACCCTTGATCTATTGTTCCCTTTAGATACCTAAGTACCATTTTCAAGGCTTGCCAGTGAATTGAAGTTGGAAACTACAGAAACTGACTTAATTTATTTACAGTAAATGTGATGTCTGGCCTAGTATGTGTGAGATATTGCAGAGCTCCTACAGCACTTCTGTAGATTGAAGGGTTGTTCAGTAGTTCTCCTTCAGCCTTTGACATGGTTTTGCCTGCTAGAATTGGAGTTGGACATGGCTTCAGATTTTGTAATTCAAACTTCTTGAGCAACTCAGCAATATACCTTGCTTGAGTTAAATGGAGACCTGAGTTATGCAACAACACTTCAATTCCCAGAAGCAGTGAAGTTGTCCCATATCTTTGAGTGCAAACCTTTGATTCAATTCATTTATGAACATTTGCAACAAACCTGCATCATTCCCGGTTACTACAATGTCATCAACATATATGAGTGCAATTATGATTTGATTTTCATTTTTGAAGTAGAACAAAGAAGTGTCAGCAACTGATTGCTTGAACTTCCAATTCATTAGTGTTGACTTCAATTTATCATACCAGGCTCTAGGTGCCTGCTTCAACCCGTAAATTGCCTTTTCCAGTTTGCAAACATGGTCTGGTTTTGAAGGATCCACAAAGCCCTCTGGTTGGTTCATATATACAACTTCCTCAAGTTCACCATTCAAAAATGCATTATTGATATCTACCTGTCTGATTGCCCAACCTTTTGACACTGCCATAGCAAGTATAACTCGTAAGGTTGAAGCTTTGATTACCTGGCTGAAAGTCTCATAAAAGTCAACTCCAGGCTCCTGATGAAATCCCTTGGCTACCAATCTCGCTTTAAGCCTTTGAACTGATCCATCAGTGTTGTATTTTGTTTTGAAAACCCACTTGTTTCCTACAATGTTGTAAGCTGGCAATGGTGGCACAAGCTTCCAGGTGTTGGTTTTCATCAGGGCATTAAACTCCTCATCCATGGCTTTCTTCCACTATTTTCTCATTAAGGCTTCATCTAGGCTTCTTGGTTCTGATATTTCAAGATTGCTGGCCACTGATTTACCCAGAAATGCCTTAGGTTTAAAGACTTCTGCCTTTGCTCTTGTGATCATATGATGTCCTATTAAGTCCCTTGCTCTTGATTGAGGTTTGATTTCTTGTTGATTTGCCAAGGAATCTGTTTCACCCCGTTCATTATTCTAAGGTAGTTCAAGTTCTGATTCTGCTCCTTGACTTATTGCTTGATTGTTTATATCCTCATTGCTCCCATTTTCATCTCTTTCATTGCTGATATGTTCAAATTGACTATCACTCCAGTTGAGAGGTGTGTGATGCTCAGCATAGGTTGCTTTAAGAAGTAATGTATCCACAGAATTTGAGGTATGTTCAGAACCATTTGATTGAGGTGAAAACTGAAAATAGGTTATCATAGACTTAGGTATCACAGAGTTTTGTTGGTTTTGGACTGAAAACAAGGACTTAAAAGGGAACTCGTGTTCATTAAAGACAACATGTCCTTTATGAGAATCACTATATCCAATGAAAACACATTTTGTTGAGTGATAACTGAACTTGTGCCTTTGGTAAGGCCTGAGGCAAGGGTAGCAAGCACAACCAAAAACCCTAAATGACTTGTAATCAATTTTTTTTTTCCAAATAGAACAAGGTAAGGGGACTGCATTTTAAGCAAAGGTGTAGGCATTAGGTTAGTCAGGTAGGTTGTAGTTTGAAAGGATTCCCACCAATATTTTAAAGGTATTTTGGCTTGAGCTAAGAGGCTGAGGCCTGTTTCAGTTATATGTCTGTGATTTCTTTCAATTCTTCCATTCTGGGCAGAGGTATATGGACATGGATGTCTAAATTCAATTCCCTCTTGTGACAAAAAGGTTTTGAAGACTCTAAACTTTCCTTCCCAGTCAGCTTGCAAGGTTTTTATTTTCCTTGCAAGCTTGTTCTCACCTAACTTCTTAAAATGCACAAAATTACTTAGTGCTTCAGATTTCTGTTTTAGGGGATAAATCCAAGTGAATCTACGAAAGTCATCAAGGAATGTTATGTAATATTTGAAACTAGAATTAGATTGAATTGGTGCTGGTCCCCATAGATCAGTGTGCACAAGTTCAAGAGGTGTTTTGGCATGTGAAGTAGAAAGAGTAAAAGGTAGCATATGGGATTTGCCAAACTGACAAGCATCACAGAAGGATTTACTATTTTATTTCAACTTTTGATTACAAGTTTTGAGCACTTGAGACATCACTTGGCTAGAAGGATGTCTAAGCCTCATGTGCCATACATTAGCTAGGAAACCTAAGGACTGTTGACTTGGGTTTTGACTAGGATCAATGGATAGGATGTTGCAGCAGTGTTTATTCGAGACAGTAGACATCTGGGATTGACTCTGGGTATTATAGTGACGGAAATCCAGCTGATACAATCCTTCCTTAAGCCTCCCTTGCAGCACCACTTCCCTCGTTAGGTTGTCATTGACAAAACAACAATTAGAATGAAATTCCATATAAACCTGATTATCAGAGGTTAATTGTGACACACTGATGAGGTTTTTCTTGATTTCAGGTACATGCAAAAGCTTGTTTAGAACGAGTGATTCACTGTTTAAAGTAGGCAGATGAGTTATGCCAGAATGTACATTATGCAGTCTGTTTCCATTACCTACCATAATTTCTTGCTTACCAGCATATTTAGTAGCTGAAGTGAGGTTTTGCTTATCTGTAGTAATTTGGTTGTTGGCACCAGTATCAGCAAACCAGGCTGGGTCATTCAGAGTGCTGGGGGAAGAAATATAGGCTGTCGGTGCTGTTGGTGAAGGATTGTAGTTGAACCTCTAATTTGGTGGAGCTCCAGTGTATCTTTCATCAAATCTAAAGTTGCAGATGTTAGCCTTGTGTCCTGTTTTTCCACATACTTGGCAGGTAGGTCTATCACTTCCATTAAAATAGCCTCCTCTCTTTCTTCCTCTTCTTCCACCTCTGAAATAGTTAGAGAATCTTCCATTGGTGACTGGCCTGTGACCTACTTTCATAGGTCATTAGTGTTTATTGCAGCTCACCCCAAGTTATGTTGTCTTTGCTGTGAATTTGAACAACAATGGGAGTGTATTCTTCATCTAAGCCTGCTAGGACCTGAGTAACCAAATCAGAATGGGGAATAGGTTTCCCAGCAATACTCAAGCCGCCTTTCTTTGCCTTTTGAAGTTCGCCAGTGAGAAAGATGATTCGAGATATGTTTTGAACCCCATAACTTTCCTTCACAGCTGTCCATAGTTCATTTGAAGTTTTTGCACCCATAACTCTCATAGCAATATCTGGAGTCATAGAGGAGTAGAGTCATCCCATGAGCAATTGGTCTGTAGACATCCACTGGTTATATTCTGAATTTCTTGTCATTTCGATGCTGGTTCCACTTTCACCAGCAACTTGGGTTCCAATGAACTCTGGAGGACAAGGCTTTGTCCCTAGGATATAGCCTTCAAGGCTATGTCCACGAATAATAGGCAGTATCATGTTCTGCCATAGTAAGAAATTATTTTTGTCAAGCTTGACTGATACAACTTGAGTTAGATTAACACCAAATGGCGAGAGGTTTGGGCTTCCTTGCATTGAAGCAGAGTTGCTGCTGGATATGGATATAGGAGCTGAGTTTTCTTCTGTGTTTTGTGGAGCATTGCTGGCGTTTGCCATTGAGAGCTCTGATACCAAGTTGAAATACAAAAAAGGAAATGATAATTTAACTGGATGGAGCTAGTTGCTCTAGCTCCACGCTGGATGGAGCTAGCTGCTAACTCCATTCTGGATGGAGCTAGCTGACACTAGCTCCATTCTGAATGGAGCTGGCCATCATTCTTAATACAACACAAATCCAAGATCAAATGGGTTTGCAGAAGTTTTACAGTTGGGTTTTGCAATGAGTGGGATTGGAGGAATGGCCTTACATATATTAATATGATAATATCCTTAATGTGGTCCTACGCATAAATCCACTTAAGTAGAGATCATGGAACATTCCAACCACCGAGGACCCTAAGTTCACTACTGTCATCAATCACCACAATCTCAGCCTTTTGATTCAGACCGAGCATTAGAGTAGTTCACTAGCCCGAAATAAAAATGATAAATCTTAATTGGTATTTTATACATTTCAAGATCAGTCTGATGCTACTAGAAATGTAAATCCATGCAAATGAAAATTATTACTAGAAATTAACTACTACATCAACGCATTAGGACAGTGAAAATTTGTAGCATCACTTCATCTCTACCTGCATGTTTTAGCACATAATCATGCCTAGAAAGCACCATAACTCGTGTATAAAGTATCTACCTGCAAGAACCTCATTCTTTAAGAAATCTTCAACGGCATTGACAACGAAGAATTGGGGAACAACCAGTGACGAAATCAATGCAACTGGAGCCAAAACCCAAAGTAAAGAGCCACTGTTTTCCTTAAAAGGAGCTGATACCAATTGACTTTCTTCAACAGAATGGTGAGTTATATTACCAAACGAAACAGACCCAGATTTACCCCTAAAAGGTTCCGAATTCTTGGTAGCATCTGCGCATAAATCCAACTTCCCTGATGAATTCAAATTAGCAGCAGATATAACTACTCTTCCTCTCTTTAAATGTGGCAAAAAAGCTGGAAAAATTTACATGATAAACGGCGTGAGATCAAGACCATAGATTTTTACACTCTTCAGCTTCTTCCAACCGTCTGATCAGTCCGTCAAAATTTACAAAGCGTAGTCTATTAAACATAGTATATACTATATATAGGGTATGTTTGTTTTTTATTCTCAAATTTTACAGTAAATCAATTCTCATTTTCAACCACATATTTTTCGGTAAAATAATATTTTCCACACATTCTTCAATAAAATAATATTTTCCATCACATCAATAATTTTTTCTTCTTTATCAACCACACATTTCCCATCATATCACTATTCAAAATCAATTCTTCCCCCAAAAATTCCTACCAAACAAGCACATAGTAAACAGACCCTTTTGTAATTTTTAAATAGGCCCAATAGCTATAGAGATTAGGTAAAAATTCACGTTTAAGAGTTTAGGCCACTGTTTGAGCCAAATTATTGTAGAATGAGAATGAAAAATATAGTCGTTATTGGGGTCCACACAAGAGATGGAAAATTTAAATGTTGATGTGATGGATAACGATCAAATTTTTCATTTTAATGAAATAATAAGGTGGCTCAGACGGGGCTAACTATTTCTCATATCTCATTTCAAAATTAAGAAATAAGGATTAAAACTTGAAAAATCAGATATTATTATATTTTATTTATGAAATTATTAATTAAAAAATATTTTATTAATTAATTATAATAAGTTCACATACAATTTGATCACAAATTATAGAATTAACTGGTTACAAATTATTTCTGGGTAACGGATAAAAAATTTTATAGGTTACAAATTATTTTTGGTCACAGATTAAAAATTTTATAGGTCACAATTTATTCATCGATCAAAAAATCAAAAATTTTGTAATTGATAATTTATTTAACATTCACAAATTATCAAATGAAAGCTCACAAGTAATTTCTCGGTCACAATTTAGTAAATTGTGAGTCACAATCCTCTTTTTTAAGCCACATATTATTTATTAATTATAAATTAACTAATTTATTGTCACAAATTATTTATTAGTCATATATTAACCAATTTATGTTTACAATCAATCAAATAATTAGCCCACCCCACCCCACACCACACCACACCACACCCAACAATTCAGTTATATCGCCGCCACCACCACCAACCTACCACTCCACATCGACAACTCTCACCAAAAAAATTTCTCAAATCTGTCCTCGAAAACCACCACCACCACCACAGCATATATCAACAATAACCACCACCACCACTGACTATATCAACAAAAACCATATCCACGGCGCCACCTCCAGATCTAACAAATCCTCCACCCCAACCAAATCTAACAATGCCACCGTTATATACACCCCCATTAGATTCATCGTCGATCCAACAAAACACACATCCACTGCTAGATCCACCACCACCACTAGATCCACCTCTAACAAAAATCACAGTCAAAACATATAAACCACCACCACCACTGTAACACCCCGACCCGCATGGATCGAAACATAACTAGATTAATTGTAGTTTAGCCGTAAACTCAATAATTAACTATACTTTTAGCAGAAAGTATAAAGATTTAATTTAAAATTTTGTTTCAAGAATTATTTAATTCTAATTAATATCATTTCATATTAAGGAATCATCTAATAATTTCTTAAAAATAAAGTCACATTACTAACATGAAATTCTAGGCAGAAAAAGAAAAATAAATATTGCTGTTTTTGCTTTCTATCTAGGGATGGCAAAAAAGCTCGACGGCTCGGACGGCTCGGAAAAAGCCCGAGCCGGGC